AGGGGAGGAGTAGCGCGCAACTACAGCGTCGTACAAGGTCTGAGCACTCTTGTACTGGCTAAAGTGCGCACGCTCAGAGGTAGGCAGGTGGCGACGCACAGCAAGACGTGCAGCAGCATCGCGAGTGGCCCACTGGGAGCGAACAGTGGCGTCGGCATCAGCAGCAGGGGCAGGAGAGGCACCAGAGGTGAGGTCAAAGAGGGAGAGACCGTCTGCCCTATCGCACTGTAGGAAAAGCTGCAGGTCATCTACCCAGACGTCAAAGTCAATGGCCCTACCCTCAGCGTCAAAGGCGAGGACACTAGGGGTAGCCATGACAGCAGTAGACTAGCAGCGCTAACAGTAGGGTGAGGGCAGTGCAGGGACAGAGGCGCTGCACTTACCGGACAGGGCGACTCGGGTGGCTCAGCTGCTCGGCGGCTCGGCAACTCGGCGGCTCGGGCGGCTCGGGCGGCTCGGCGGTACGACGGCTCGGCAGCAAGTGCGGCTCGGCGACACGGCGGCTCGGGCGGCTCGGGCGGTACTGCGGCTCGGGCGGTACGGCGGCTCGGCAGGCCCGGGCGGCTCAGGTGGCGCGGCGAGGCCGCGTGGGGAGCGGCGGCGGGGCCGAGTGGAGCGGCGGCGGGGCCGATTGGAGCGGCGTCGGCGGGTGCAGTCAGCTGCGGCAGCAGCCGCGGCCCCGAGGGAGGTGGTGGCGGCTGCTGCTGGCGACGGCTGCGGCTGCTGCTGCAGGGACGGCGGCGGCCGCTGCGGTAGGGGCGGCGACGGTGGGCCGGAGAGGGCGGTGCGAGGGGCCGCGTCACGAGGAGCCGCGGAGGGCGGCGACTGGCCGTGAAGGGGGGCGGCGCGAGGGGCCGCGGAGGGCGGCGACGGGCCGTGAAGGGGCGGCGCGAGGGGCCGCGGAGGGCGGCGACGGGCCGTAGGGGGCCGTAAGGGGCCGCTGAGGGCGGTGCGAGGGGCCGACGGGCGGCGCGAGGGGCCGTAAGGGGCCGTAAGGGGCCGCACGAGGGGCCGTAAGGGGCCGACGGGCGGCGCAAGGGGCCGTAAGGGGCCGCGCGAGGGGCCGTAAGGGGCCGCGCGAGGGGCCGTAAGGGGCCGTAAGGGGCCGTAAGGAGCCGCGCGAGGGGCCGTAAGGGGCCGACGGGCCGCGCTAGGGGCCGTAAGGGGCCGTAAGGGGCCGCGCTAGGGGCCGTAAGGGACGGCGCGAGGGGCCGTAAGGGGCCGCTAAGGGCGACGCGAGGGGCCGTGAGAGGGCGCGACTGTGGGAGCGAAGCGCGCTCCGGGCAGGAAAAAATTTTCGTGGTGGGCCCTAGGAAGCGTTCCCACTAGGGAACCTGCTCGATACCATGAGAAGAAACAAGGAATGGATGAACTATGAATGAATTGGGTACAAGTACTAACCCTAATTGGGTTGTACCCCTTATGGGCTACCCCACTATAGCCTACACAATATGCATGAGCTATGATGTTCTGACATGCTGCTGCTGCGATATCTGCTGGTGGTGCAGCGCGATCTGCTGCTACTGTCGTGCGATCTGCTGCGGGTACTATCTAGATCGCCACTAGTGGTGCTGCAGTGGCTGGTGGGGACAGCAGTGAAATTTCGAGCTGCTTCTGCTGCTGGTGCTGCACTAAGCACAATATCGCTATTGGTGACAAGACAGAAATTGTGGTGACACGAGGCCGATTAAGATCATGATATTTTTCCATTTCTGGCCGATTAAAGCGGCAGTATACATTTGGCAGGGCCGTTGGAGGGTTTAGGGTTCCCAAAACGATTTCGCCCCAGCAGAAGTACCATTTATAAACTTTTGGCTCAGGCCCTGCGATGGCCGTATTAAGGCCACGGGCCTATGAAGATTATGATATCAAAATATTATGGCCTTGAAATTATGACCCTATCCAAGGGAGAGATCAAGAAACTGGCATGATTGTCGAATATAATGTTACAAGAGGTTATGCAACGCATACGATTCTATGCATAAATCAATGTTCATTGGAAATAAAAGCTTGGTATTTTGGCCATTTGCTAGGGCTACGTTTTGTGATACGCCCCTTCCCCTTCATAGGGTGCTGAGCTGAGCATTTTATCAAGCTTTAAATTATCCACACAAATGTTGAGATACGGTATATTTCTGTTTGAAATGAAGTTTCCGCATGTTGTGCTCCTTGACAAACGTGCGCTGCACGAAAAAGTTGTCAATAATTGCCGCTCGTATTTGCGTTTACGCTCATTCGGTGAGATTCACTTGACTGAAAAAAAAAAAAAAAAAAAAAATACACGGTCGGCCGATAGAGCCCTGTCCAGCTCTAATTTGCCCTATATGGCTCTGAGGAACCTATATCAACCACCGTAGAGGTTCTCCCCAGGCCTCTGGTGGATGTCCTTCTGGGACATATGAGTATCGCGTGTTTACGTGCTCCTTTTCCAGGATGCTGGCTAGCTCAGCCATATTTCTAGATAGATCTATGAAAGTGCTTTGCACATTGATTACGATCAACATATAACCTTGACCTCTATGGCTTTGCCACTATTGTACTTTGATAGTTATGTGTTTTGCACTGATGTGGCTAAAACATCATGGTTGTACCAATCATTTGGCACTACGCAGTTTTTTTGTCGCGATTCTAAGTGCGTAATCAAGTTCTAAGTTGTTGGTCGAGTGAGTGAGACCAATTGTTCAGAAAAATGAAGTTCTTCCATAGCTATGTTGCAGTCGCGCACAGCTTGGCCAACATACTTGTTGTGGTCAATTACTTGTGTTCCTACCCTATTTTAACAATTGCAAATGCGGTAACGGCAGTCACGGAAATGTGGGACACGTTTAATTCACCATTACTATATTGTCAATCATACAACGACGCTTCTACGTTGAGATTGCTGATGTTTGGCAACCCATAACAGGTTGCATTTCGGCACATTCTTATAGTGGGCACGGGCCTAGCGGCGGAATCGTCACCAAGGTTCTTGTTGTCATATTGGGCTCTCGAGCAGCATGCGTGGATACATGCTCAATGGTACGACTCCATATCTACATTTCGTTAAGGAGACAAGTCGCCAATTTGGATATTTGAAACCGGAATGGTAATTGATCATCCTCCGATCAGATGTTTAACATCCGCTCAAATCAAGTTGCGTACCTAAACGGAGAGTGTCATTGAGGCACTTGGTGTGCGAGATCACGATGAGTCCATTTTTCAACGTCTTACAAACTAGGTTGTCACATGTATGTCAGAGGTCCACTGGAGATCCCCGATTGATCCTAGGGAAGGGTTACAGGCACGTTGGCCTCGGGGGTTATGGACGCACTGACCCGCTACTTATCAAGCCCTTTTATCCCAATGGTCTAGTGGTTGGGATTCTGACAATGTAAGCCGCCACATGGACGCAGTTAACAGCCGCTCCTTGAGCACACTGCCATGGAAACAACGTGGTGAATCATGCGCGTAATATCACATGTTCATAGTACATCATCTATTGTCACTGTATGCAACGAAACAGGTCCCGCCTTATATTCATGGTTGGGGGAAAGGGGATACGTATTACGCCCATGCAAATGTATGATGCCCCATTATGAAGCATTATTGCTATCTAAGGTTGAGATGCCTATATGTCATGCGTAATCACCTGCATAGCATGCTACCCATTCGATATTGATCATTGGAGTGCGACAATGGCACGATCTCATCTTCAGGGTTCCTCAATCTCCTCACCCTTTGTGAGCAGAGTTACTTTACTCACTTGGGTGCTAACATCAATAGTGCACTCGAACGACCACTCCTATCTTGCAAAAGCCATGTACATGCTTGCCACAGGCTTGAAATCACATTCCTATCTCATCGTGCTATTGCACACTGTTGGCATACTGTCAGTCTCGCCCACATGGTTACATGCTGTATACTTGCGTATCAATGGCCAACAACTTCGAAAGTGGAAAAAGAGGTTCGAGATTCTCTGGCGGGATGGATGCCCCCCTCACTGCTGCTGACTCAACACCATAATTCTTGGCACAGTATATGAAATCGTGCTAAGCTCTTACTAGTGCCTCATACTTCGTCACCCCGTCGTTTTTATCTTCGGAACATCTCTACCTTCCGTTAAGAAGCGTACAGCATCCTTCATAGGAAATCATTCCCGTACCTAATGTCTCGTGTTACCTATGACGACTGCTCTGCATACTCTTTGAAGAGTATTGTCTAAATATGAAAAATTCTGAAATAAATTTCAAAATTTAAAGATTATGACAATACACGTAAAGGAGAATGCAGTAAGGAGTCTATCGCTCCTTATATTGTGGCAGGTTTACGGACCTGCCACCTAGTCCAAAAATCATTTATAGATCTAGTTTAGAACCCACCCCCCCCTCCCATATAGATTTATATTCATTGATACATAGTTTGGATACCTACAATTTCTCTTTGTTATTTTACTTTGTAATATGCAATCTAGTGTGCTGTACGATAAGATCTGAAATGCTATGACGACTGCTCTATGACGACTGCTCTGCATACTCTTTGAAGAGTATTGTCTTAATCTATGGTATCATTGGCCCTACACATCAGGCGATGAATGATGATCGCTGTTTTCTCCGGCGGCGTAACTAAGTTCCAGCCTATAGTTTTGTAGCGTGGAAGACGGTCTCTACTGGGTAGAAACCCTGCTCTTGAAGTGGTGGAATTGTGCACCCGGCGTATATCCTGGAAATAGTCCTGAATCAACTGGAAACCGCTCTTTCAAGTTGGAACTGCCTCCACTATCCATCCTAGACGACAATGCCTTTGACCAGCATGGCTTGTACAGATCTGACCTGTCAAGCAACATGCAAACAATAGCAGTCGCCAGTCATTCTAAGGTAATCAGAGCCACCTACCTAGCTAATGCAACCCTGGCAGGTCTGCCAGCAAAATCCTAGTCACAATCCTAACAGCCAACTTGTACGGAAGCATGCTGGCGGTCCTGCCACTTGTCTCTCCTGTTGTTTCATGTTTAGCACACTGCTCTACACAAAGAGCAGGGAGCTGAGCGCAACAGTGATGGCGGTGGCCAAGACAGTGACTGGTGGAGCAAGAGAGCCTGACAAAGGGGAAGGAGGGTGGAGTGGAGAGTGGCATGAGATCGCATGGGAAGAATGAAGGGGGCGGAAAGCAGGAAACCAATGAGGGGTAACAGGCTGAAAGTACAGCTGCAAAAACACGAGAGCAGTGGTTGTGGCCAACCCAAAGCAGAACAAAGGCGTGGAAGAAGCAACATACCAGCAGGCTTGGGTGGTGGCGGTGCAGCAGCTGCGGAGGATGGAGTAGCAGAGGAGGGAGTAGGAGATGCAGGGGGGGTGCTGGGGCTGGGAGTGACGTCGCCAAAGGTGATGGTGCCATCGGGGCTGATGGTGGTCTTTCTGAAGGTGCTCACAGCCGCACCGTTTGTCCCGGTGATCGTGCTGTTGCTGTACACCGTCACATCTCCCGCCGTCGCTGCCGATCCATCCGAGTTCACAACTGGCTGAATCGCCTGCCCTGCTGCATCCAGCACCGTGCCATTGGCCAGGATTGTCGTGGCTCCGATGGTGAGCCGCCCGCCGGTCTGAGCAAAGGAGAGGCCGGGTGCAGTGAAGGTGTTGTTGGGATAGAAGATGTAGTCTCCGCCCACGGAGACAGACCCGTCTGTGTTCTTGGTAGGGGGGACGAGCGCACCGGCGGAGTCCACAACCGTGCCGTTGGGGAAGCGAGTGTAGCCGGGTCCAAACGACAGGCTGCCATCGGAGTTGAACGTCACGCTGCCGCCGCTGGAAGGAGGGGGGCCGGGGGAAGGAACGGGGCCAGGGAGGGAGCCAGGCGCAGGGGCAGAGCCAGGGGCGCCGACGGTGATGGTGCCATCGGGGGTAACGGCGAACTGCTTGCCAGTGTTGACCACAGCACCGTTGGCGCCCATAAGTGTGCCGTTCTCATACCCTGTGATGTCACCCGCTGTGAACGACCCGTCTCCGTTATCCGTGGGAACAATGGGCGCTCCTGCCGCGTCCAGCACCGTGCCATTGGCCAGCATCGTCGTGCTGCCAATTGTGACTCCTGTCGTGCCGGCCATGCTGACAGCAACACCAGGAGCAGTGAGCGTGCCATTGGGGTAGGCAGTGTAGTCGCCGCCGACAGTGAAGGAGCCATCGGGATTGCGAGTGGGAGAGACAGCGGCGCCAGTGGAGTCAGTGACTGTGCCGTCGGCCAAGAGAGTGTAGCCGGGCCCGAATGATAAGGTGTTGTCCGGGTTGAACGTCAGCCTGGTGCCGCTGGGGTCGGAGGGAGTGGGACCGGGGCTGGACCCAGGTGCAGGGTTGGAGCCAGGAGCAGTCTCAGAGCCAGGTGCAGCCTCTGAGCCAGGTGCAGCCTCTGAGCCAGGTGCAGCCTCTGAGCCAGGTGCAGCCTCTGAGCCAGGCGAAGTCTCGGACCCAGGCGCAGGAACAGAGCCAGGTGCAGTTTCAGACCCAGGTGCAGTTTCAGACCCAGGTGCAGTTTCAGACCCAGGTGCAGTTTCAGACCCAGGTGCAGGGGCAGAGCCAGGTGCAGCCTCAGAGCCAGGTGCAGAGGCAGAGCCAGGTGCAGGGGCAGAGCCAGGCGCGGGGATGGAACCAGGGGCAGCAGATGTGACAGTGATGGTGCCATCAGGGTTGATGGTGAACTGCTTGCCGGTGTTGACCACGGCACCGTTGGCGCCCACAAGTGTGCCGTTCTCATACCCTGTCAGCTCGCCCGCTGTGAACGACCCATCCCCATTATCCGTCGGCGTGATCGGCACTCCAGCCGCGTCCAGCACCGTGCCATTGGCCAGCATCTTCGTGCTGCCTATCGTATACCCAGGCGCGCCGACGCGATCAATGGCAACACCGGGAGCTGCGAGCGTGCCGTTGGTGTAGGCAGTGTAGCCAGCGCCGACGGAGTAGGACCCATCCGGATTGCGAATGGGAGCAACAGGGGCTCCAGAGGAGTCAACCACCGTGCCGTTTGCCAGCATGGTGTAGCCGGGCCCGAAAGACAGGCTGCCATCGGGGTTGAACGTCAGATTGGTGCTGCTGGGGTCAGACGGAATGGGACCAGGGATGGAGCCAGGTGCAGGGTTGGAGCCAGGCGCAGGAGAGGTGACGGCGATGGTGCCATCAGGGGCAACGGCGAACTGCTTGCCAGTGTTGACAACCGCACCGTTGGCGCCCAAAAGTGTGCCGTTCGGAAACCCTGTGATGTCACCCGCTGTGAACGACCCATCTGCGTTCGCCATCGGCTTGATCGGCTTCCTAGCCGCGTCCAGCACCGTGCCATTCGCCAGCATCGTCGTGCCGCCAATTGTGTATTCAGGCGCGCCGGAGACAGTGGCGATTGAAACACCGGGAGCAGTGACGGTGCCATTGGTGTACGCCGTGTAGTCACCGTTAACAGAATACGACCCATCCGGGTTGAGAGTGGGCGTGACAAAAGCTCCAGTGGAGTCAACCACCAGGCCGCTAGGTAACATGGTGTAGCCGGGTCCGAAGGACAGGCTGCCATCGGGGTTGACAGTCAGGTTGGTGCTGCTGGGGTCGGGAGTGACAGCGATGGTGCCGTCTGGATTGACGGTGAATTTCTTGCCGGTTTCTACCACCGACCCGTCGGGACCCACAATCGTGCCGTTGGGGTAGGCAGTGTACTTGCCGCCGACGGTGAACGAGCCATCGGGATTGGCGACGGGCTTGACGGGTTTGCCAGAGGAGTCCACCACCGTGCCGTTGGGCAGCACCTTGTAGTCCGCGCCCAACGCCACACTGCCGTCAGGGTTCATGCCTCCGCCACTGCCTGTGCTTCCGCCCGTGCCCGTGCCTCCGCCAGTGCCCGTGCTTCCGCCCGTACCGGTGCCTCCGCCCGTGCCCGTGGCTCCGCCCGTACTGGTGCCTCCGCCCGTGCCGGTGCCTCCGCCCGTGCCCGTGGCACCGCCAGTACCCGTGCTTCCGCCGGTGCCTGTGCTTCCGCCGGTGCCCGTGCTTCCGCCGGTGCCCGTGCTTCCGCCGGTGCCTGTGCTTCCGCCAGTGCCCGTGCTTCCGCCGGTGCCCGTGCTTCCGCCAGTGCCCGTGCTTCCGCCAGTGCCCGTGCTTCCGCCGGTGTCAGTGCCTCCGCCCGTACCCGTGCTTCCGCCAGTGCCCGTGCTTCCGCCAGTGCCCGTGCTTCCGCCAGTGCCCGTGCTTCCGCCAGTGCCCGTGCTTCCGCCAGTGCCCGTGCCTCCGCCGGTGTCCGTTCCTCCGCCCGTGCCCGTGCTTCCGCCAGTGCCCGTGCTTCCGCCAGTGCCCGTGCCTCCGCCAGTGCCCGTGCCTCCGCCAGTGCCCGTGCCTCCGCCGGAGCCCGTGCCACCACCGGTGCCCGTGCCTCCGCCTGTTCCCGTGCTTCCGCCGGTGCCCGTGCCACCACCGGTGCCCGTGCCTCCGCCTGTTCCCGTGCTTCCGCCGGTGCCCGTGCCTCCGCCGCTACCGGTGCTTCCGCCGTCATTCGTTGGTTTGAACGAGAGTCGTGTTCGCAGCACGACGCCATTAGAGCCGCGGAACGTGCCGTTCGCCCAACCGGTGATGTCGCCGGCGGTGAACGAGCCATCGGGATTCTCAACCCACGGGATCACCGCGCCCGTCGCCGCGTTTCGCGCAATGCCGCCCTTGCCGAACAGCTTCGTGTTGGCAATCTCCACAAAGCTGGCCGCGCCGGCGATGTATATAGTCACACCAGGAGCGGCGATGGTGCCGTTCGGGTACCACGTGTACTTGCCTTCCACCGTGAGCGACCCGTCGGGGTTCTTCGTCGGCTTGACGAGGGCGCCGGTTTCGTTGTCGTATATGGTCTGGCCGTAGATGGTGTAGTTGTCGACCGTCAGGCTGCGGTCGATGTTGCTGATGACGAGCGTCGCGCCATTCGCTGTTGTCACGGCGGTCGTCGAGATGGTGACCGCGAGCAGCAGCAGCGCGAGCGCGAGGTACTGGCGCGCCATGATCGAAAATCAATGGCGGCACGAAAGCGAGATGAAAGCACGGTGGGGTGAAATGGGAATGAGTTGAGGGTGGCGCGCCACAGCGTACGCGAAATGCGCTGCTGGAGAGTCCGGCTGGCCCACTCGTTCAATTCCCGAAGTAGCTATTTTCTGACCTTGTCAAAGCTCGACCGCGTTGACGTATTTCTGAGCATGGTGTGAATGAGGAGACAGCGAGCAGTGCAAATACAGCGCAAGGGTCAAGAATTGGACCAGCTAGAATCTTCTTGCATTGCAAGCGTTGTGCTTCCACTCAAGCGGAATTGGTCTTCCGCTCAGTCCCCCCCCAAGAACACCGCGCGGAGCTGAATTGCTGCGCCAACGCGAGGACGCGATTTCCAGAAGGTCCTTACAGGGCGGACGGGGTATATTACGTTCAGCCACGTTTGGGAGCGGTACTTTTGTTTCCACCGCTTTAGACCAATGTGCGCCAGAATGAACCTTCCTAAGTCAATTGTAAACGAAGAAAACAATTCGCCCTTGCCAGAATTCAGTGGTGGCGCGCCGCCGCCTCACCTAGTGCGGTTCGTCGCTTGACTGCTCCAGCTGGCACGGGATAGGCTGCAATGGTGGTACTGTACAATACGAGTTCACTGGAGATGTTTCTCGGTGGAGCTATTGAGTTGGGTGTCGGGTTGCTTGCGAACGACCTTACGAAAGTCAATTCTGCATATGCAAGTCACAAATCTTCATGAATGCGAAACTTAACGACATCAGCGACGCATAGCGATTTTGAGATAGGGTTCTTATGACGGCGGAGCATAGCACCCACATGCACCTAGTCTTTTGCGACTCGAGGATGGTTACAGTGCAATGCCCACCCGAGAGTGTGGGCAGCCGCAATTCATCCAGCTTATGGGGAGGCGGAAGGACCATCAAGATTCAGGAGCAGAGTCGGGGGAGGGGGGACTTCGATATGGGACGCAAGAGAAAGGGGGTGGGGGGCTGGTGGGGAGAGGAGGGGGGGTGGGAGTACATGGGGTGGGTACACCGACCAAAGATCTGCTGCCACCGCAGCAAAGAGAATTGCAGCGAGTTTGCCGAGAGAATTGCTCCAAACCCGGGTTTGGAGATTCGGTGTTGCATGCGTGGCCTCCATTCGCTCGCGTGGTTCTAAATTTGACTGATAATTGCTTGAGTGGTCTTGCCTGGGGATTCCAGCAGGCTTTTTTTTACCCGGCACAATACCACACGAGCAAATGGAGGCCACGTGTGCAACACCGAATCTCCAAACCCAGGTTTGGAGCAATTCTCTCGAGTTTGCCAAGCCCTGAATCGCGAGCACAGGTGGGATGACAAGCAGGGCATGGATGGGGTCGGGAAGAAGGGTAAAGGGGGAGGCAAGGAAAGGGTCCCAGCGATGCCCTACACATTTAAGCTGCACACTGCATAAAGTAAGCCCCGCATAAGACTCGGAGGCAATAACAAATCATGAATTACATAAAACATCAGGAATGCTTTGGCACATCTGACCTTATGGCGTAGACACCTTTCATAGGCTTGATCCTTCTTCGCCCGTTACCGATTGTGCCATTCTTTTCCAAACCTTGAATTATCTTACAAGGCCGAGTAGGCCTACGCCTCGTGAATAGCTCGAACTTGGTGGCCAAAATTGCATAGGCTAGCTCGCAACAAATTGATATCGTTCTCTATTAAAATGTTAGCTCATGCCTTTGCTGACAATGATTACCTTGAAATGCAACCCCATTTTATCGTTCAAGCGTATTAGAACAACTACGGGAACTTTGTTGGACAGGATAAGACTGTTAATACCATATTTTAGCGTATACCGTATCACCCCGGATATAAGCGCACCTGCGCTTATAATAAAACATGATTTAAAGAGGGGTGCATGTCAGTAGATCTGCACTGTGGATGCCCGATTGATCCTAGGGGGGTTACAGGCGCGTTCGCCTGGGGGGTTATGGGTGCACTCTGACCCGCTACTTAACAAGCCCTTCTATCCCAATGGTCTAGTGACTGGGATTCTGACATGGTGTCGGAGTGGTCTCGGGTTCGAATCCCAGTGTATGCACATGTAGGCCGTTGCCGCTGTGCTCAGTCCTGGGCCTCCCAGTGTGGGGGGTGTCAGTAGATCTGCACTGTGGATGCCCGATTGATCCTAGGGGGGTTACAGGCGCGTTCGCCTGGGGGGTTATGGGCGCACTCTGACCCGCTACTGAAATAAGCCCTTCTATCCCAATGGTCTAGTGATTGGGATTCTGACATGGTATCAGAGTGGTCTCGGGTTCGAATCCCAGTATATGCACATGTAGGCCGTTGCCGCTGTGCTCAGTCCTGGGCCTCCCTGTGTGGGGGGGTGTCAGTAGATCTGCACTGTGGATGCCCGATTGATCCTGGAGGGGTTACAGGCGCGTTCGCCTGGGGGGTTATGGGCGCACTCTGACCCGCTACTTAACAAGCCCTTCTATCCCAATGGTCTAGTGACTGGGATTCTGACATGGTGTCAGAGTGGTCTCGGGTTCGAATCCCAGTGTATGCACATGTAGGCCGTTGCCGCTGTGCTCAGTCCTGGGCCTCCCAGTGTGGGGGGGTGTCAGTAGATCTGCACTGTGGATGCCCGATTGATCCTAGGGGGGTTACAGGCGCGTTCGCCTGGGGGGTTATGGGCGCACTCTGACCCGCTACTTAACAAGCCCTTTTATCCCAATGGTCTAGTGGTTGGGATTCTGACATGGTGTCAGAGTGGTCTCGGGTTCGAATCCCAGTGTATGCACATGTAGGCCGTTGCCGCTGTGCTCAGTCCTGGGCTTCCCAGTGTGGGGGGGTGTCAGTAGATCTGCACTGTGGATGCCCGATTGATCCTAGGGGGGTTACAAGCGTGTTCGCCTGGGGGGTTATGGGCGCACTGATCCGCTACTTAACAAGCCCTTCTATCCCAATGGTCTAGTGACTGGGATTCTGACATGGTGTCAGAGTGGTCTCGGGTTCGAATCCCAGTGTATGCACATGTAGGCCGTTGCCGCTGTGCTCAGTCCTGGGCCTCCCAGTGTGGGGGGGTGTCAGTAGATCTGCACTGTGGATGCCCGATTGATCCTAGGGGGGTTACAGGCGCGTTCGCCTGGGGGGTTATGGGCGCACTCTGACCCGCTACTTAACAAGCCCTTTTATCCCAATGGTCTAGTGGTTGGGATTCTGACATGGTATCAGAGCGGTCTCGGGTTCAAATCCCGGTGTATGCACATGTAGGCCGTTGCCGCTGTGCTCAGTCCTGGGCTTCCCAGTGTGGGGGGGTGTCAGTAGATCTGCACTGTGGATGCCCGGTTGATTCTAGGGGGGTTACAAGCGTGTTCGCCTGGGGGGTTATGGGCGCACTGATCCGCTACTTAACAAGCCCTTCTATCCCAATGGTCTAGTGACTGGGATTCTGACATGGTGTCAGAGTGGTCTCGGGTTCGAATCCCAGTGTATGCACATGTAGGCCGTTGCCGCTGTGCTCAGCCCTGGGCCTCCCAGTGTGGGGGGGTGTCAGTAGATCTGCACTGTGGATGCCCGATTGATCCTAGGGGGGTTACAGGCGCGTTCGCTTGGGGGGTTATGGGCGCACTCTGACCCGCTACTTAATAAGCCCTTTTATCCCAATGGTCCAGTGGTTGGGATTCTGACATGGTATCAGAGCGAAAGTCTCGGGTTCGAATCCTAGTGTGTGCACTTCGGGCATCCCAGTGCGGGGGGGTGTCAGAGGTCCACTGGTGATCCTCGATTGATCCTAGGGAAGGGTTACAGACATGTTGTCCTGGGGGGTTATGGGCGCACTGACCCGCTACTTAACAAGCCCTTTTATCCCAATGGTCTAGTGGTTGGGATTCTGACAGTGCACTTATAATTGAGTAAAAAATATAAGCGCATGCACTTATAAAATAACAAATATACAATTTTAAACTACTAGCACGAAAATGTAGTTCGCTTCATTTCGCACCCAATCAAGTCGATTTGAAACAGGGTTGTGGGTGAAAAAACTCTCGCTACTTGGCAGGGAAAGATTCCTTGCCAGCACATGCGCTCAAAATGAATCACTAGGAGCTTCTGACAGCACTTGCTGATTGGACGCGCAGCCAGTGCAGGGTTTGAATGCAAAGGAAATCTGATTTTCAACTCATCGCCTCCTGAAGTGAACTTCGTTACAGTAATTTGATAGTTTTTCAAATTTGAAACTAACATGCGCTTATAATAAATCATGTTTTTTAAGGGGGTGCGCTTATAATTGAGGATCGGGCATAAGCGCATTGCTCCAGATAGAAGCGCATGTCAAACTTATATGCTATAGTCTGTTTAGGCTGTAGTGGGGTAGTTCATATAGGGTACAGCACTTTTAGGTTTCCTACTTGTACCCACATGCTTGCTAGTTCAGTCATTCATTCGTTCACTATTCTAACATGGTATTCTGAGCAGGTTCCCTCGTGGGAACGTTTTTTTTAGGGCCCACCACGATTTTTTTTCCCTGCCCGAAGCGCGCCTCGCGCCTCCCTCATCTGCGCCGTCGCGCGCCCTGCCTTCGCTGGCCCGTCCCGGCCCGTCACCGGCCCGTCCCGGCCCGTCACCGGTGCCCGTCCCAGCCCGTCGCCGCCCGTCGCTGGCCCGTCGCCGCCGCTAGTCGCGGCCCTGCCTTAGCCGCCCACTGCGGCCCTGCCTTGCAGCCGCCCTGTCGCGGCCCTACCTACGCCGCCCGTCACTGGCCTGTCCCGACCCGTCCCGGCCCGTCGCCGGCCCGTCCCGGCTCGTCGCCGCCCGTCGACGGCCCGTCGCCGCCCGTCGCTGGCCCTTTGCCGCCTGTCGCGGCCCTGCCTTCGCCGCCCACTGCGGCCCTGCCCTGCTGCCGCCCTGTCGCGGCCCTGCCCAGCTGCCACCCTGTCGCGGCCCTTCCCTGCAGCCGCCCTTTCGCGGCCCTGCCCTGCTGCCGCCCTAGTCGCGGCCCTGACCTAACCGCCTGCTGCGACCCT